AATTGATATTAAATAAAAAATATATTTATATAATTACAATGCAAATATTTTAACAAAAATTTTGTCACAAAAAAATAATATATAAATTTATCACAAAAGTTTAATAAAAAATATTATTATTTCAATACTAATTAATTTTGATTAAAATTAATTAAGCCCGATTAAAATTAATCAAACCTGATTAAAATTAATTAGGCCCAAACTAATCTTAAGTTTTATTGAGTTTCACATGTTTTATAGTGCAAAAATTTATTTTCTTAAATATTTCTTATCAATGTGGAATATATTTATAATACAAAACCTTATTCTCTTATATGTTTTTTTATCGATGTGGGATGCATTGATTATAGAAAATTGACAATTTTTAGTGATAAATTATTTGGTCATCATTAAATGTGTAAGGTATATGTAACAAATATTAGAATTTTGTCATAATTATAATGCATTATAGTAATTATTTTTATTGACAAAAGCTTATTTTATCTCTATGAACATTTTTTGGTGACAAAATATATTTTTTATGATGAATTTTTTTATTCATTATTAAATATGTATTCATCTGTAACTAATTTTTTAAATTTGTCATAATTATGATAAGTTACACTAATGATTTTAAAATTTATCAGAAATTTCTGTCACTGAAAATCATTTTTCTTGTAGTGTTTATTACTTGAGTTTGGATGTTAAGCCTGTCATTTACTTTATCTAAAAATAAGAAAACAAGATTTTTCATACGATCCTTTTCTTTTTTAACAGTCGACTTTCAATAGGATGGTTGGAAAGAACATCTCTAAAATAAATTGCGCCTCAGATGATATTGCAAAACAAATGGTGGAGTTCTGCAAAATGGATTACTAATTGTCTTGGAAACTTTCAAGGACTTTACAACCACAAAAGTGTAATAAAAGTTACAAATCTTAAAATTAATACAAAATCTTAAGGCAACTAATCTAATATGAGATCAATAAAAGAAAATAACATGCCATAAAAATAAAATTCGTAGACAACAGAAAATGTAAAATCACAGACAATGATTTTTACTATGCAATCCATAACAATTAAACTTAACTACTTGCAAATTTAAAATAAAAATAGCTAAACTACTTTATAACTAAAACTGAAGAAGAAACTATGAAATAATTAAAGTCTGGAAACTTATATAATTAAATCTGGAAATTGAAATTAAGTAAATTGCATGTCTGGCTGTTGTGCAAAAACAAAAGAACAAAGGTAAAAAGCATTCAACCTACTTACATAAATAAATAACATAGTTGAATCCATAAAAGAAATAAGAACTAATAAAATCAACAAGGCAAATCTGTTTTGAAGGCTAAATTGCTTCTAAATACTTAAAAACTAACCTAAGTTGAAATGTTTGAGGAAAGATATGAATAAAGATGGAAAAACCTAAACTAAGGTTATGAACAACAATAGTTCTTGCAAACTAATCTGTAAACTATTGTTGAAATCTGAAAAAAAACAGTTTGGAAGTTGAAAAACATGCTTTGGGCAGTGTGTGTAGGCCAGGCCATCTGAAACTGATTTCTTCTCCTTGTTTTTCTTTCCTTCGATGTTGGGAAACCTCCTCCATGTTTCTCGGCCCTCTCCCACCATGATCGAGTAGTGGGAGTTCCATGTCTGGCAGTTGATAGTTTTTCACTCAATCTTATCTCAAATAAAATCTTAGAGACAACCTTTTCCTAAAAACTCTCAACTTCCTAACTTAAATCAAACTTAAATACCATAAGTTATTTTATCTTTTGCCGTCTGAAATCCAATTTCTTTAAAATTCCATCTAGGCCTTTAAATTGTAATCCAGTTCAGTCCAAATCTAACTTGCTAACTTTTTTTGATAATTAGGTTTCAACTTGACACGTGACTTTCTCTCATTGATTTATTCTAAGTGTAAACAGAGTTATATTGTTTTTTCTTTATATTATATAATAAAATAAAATAATTAAGATATTTTATAATTAAAAATAAAAATTAGTATTTATTCGCTTTACCTCTAAAAAATTAATAATATCAAAACATATAATAAATTTAATAATAATCTTATAATAAATTTAATAAAATTAAGATTTATATTATATCTTTTTTTATTTAATAATAATGATTAAATATCTTGATTTTTTTAATATCAAAACATTTTAATTTGTTTCCTAATAAAATTTAGTAATATTGAGTAAAAGCAAATCATTTTTATGTAATTAATATTATTTATTTATTTTTAAAATATTATTTATTAGATGAAATATAAACCATATCAACACTATTGTTTGAAGGACTTTTTTAACGTGCCTTTTGAGGACGTTGTTACGAAGTCATTTCACGATTTAACGACGCAGAAGGACTCGACATATTTTTCTACGCCTAAAAAGCAAATATTTTCTGTCTGCTTCTGTTTATTTCGGGTTAAAGTGGGAAAGGAAACTATGGAAAGAAATAACTTGCCGCGGTAAAGTCAATTCCCCAATAATAAATTGCTTTTCGGATGCAGCTTTTGAATTTACTCTATTTCATTTTTTCATCAGCGTTTGAAATTTGAATTTACATCCTTAATCCAAAAGCATCGTTGATGGATATAGTTCCTTGATGAATGTGCTTGGATTCAGTAAGATTGTTAGTTGAGCTGGTCCGACCAATCATACCAAAACAGGCTGGATTTTTTGCAAAGGATGTAGCTGCTACTGCGAAACAGGAGTCACATTGCTTAGGGTAGATTCCAAAACTTCTTTAACGTGTTTGCTGAAAAATTGAATGAAAAACATGGTTACAGAAACACACTGTATATCATATAACAATGCCATCGTTCGCATTCCTTACAAAAAAAAAAAAAAGAAAAAAATTTAACATGTGTGCCTTTGGTGCCGACCAAAAAAAAGAAAAAAAAAGAAAAAAAGAAGAAGAAATGAAACATGTGCGCTTTTGGTTCCATCGGAAATTGTTGGCATTTGCACTAGTTGTTTCGAAACCGCAAATCATAATTCATTGCTTGCTGATCATTGTTTGAACCCTGGTCTGGATCCGCTGGAAACACATGCACTGTTTTGAACGTGCATGGGAGAATTAACATGCTTAGAACCAAAGGAGCGACCGACGATGCTGACTGGAATTGGTCGCAGGGCTTTTGCCTGGAGTTACTGTGATTCTATCCACATTAGCAGTAACCCATTTGCTGAAATCGGGTGAAGAAACAAGTTCATCAACAGCCTTTTTTGTAGATTGTTGTGTGAACTTCTCCCACTCGTCTTTTGTGAATTTTCTCCTTTGAGGAGTTGAGTGGAAAGTTGAAGGATAAGAGTTCTTATCTGACAATGGACTAGTTGATGTAGTGGTGATAACTATTGACAAATTCCCAATGTGGTTAACAGATGAAAATACACAGTTTCTCACTTTATTTGGTAATAAAATACTAAAATGAAAGCTATTGAACAAACCTTGTACAGGAGAATTGCTTGAAGCCAGGTTGAAACGTTTGGATCGATGCCTAAGGAACTTAGAGTCATCTGGCCTTTTGCGTATATATTCGTCATAAGAATCTTGAAATGGTGAAAAACCAGGAATCTCAGAACTACTGCAGATGTTTTTGATTAATTTGAACAACTTCCTGCGGAAGTAATCCACATCAATAATGCACTGAAATTTAATGGCAATTAAAAAGACACATGAATGCACTAAAAATAAATGGAAATGCCAAATAATCTACTGAAGCTCAGAAGAACAGGTAAACAGTTATATTTCTTCAGATTAAGAGTTAACATCATGATTTTCTGCATATCTTTCTGCTATCAAATTTCGAGTACCAGCAAAAGAGTGGCTTCTATTGAATGCGATGCAAGCAGATCTTTATGATGATAAAACATGACTGAGCTCTGTGAAATAAAATTAAATGTTACTTGCGCAGGTGACGCAAGAATCTCAATTTCCGCAACACTTTTGAAACCACTATGCCAGACACTAATACCTCAAGTGACAGGAGGGGATCAGAGGAACTCTGCAAACATGAGGTAAATCAAGATTACAAGAATGAAACTTCTATGAACTCGGTGATGATGGAGACTTTCACTAGTGTACATTAAGACTTCAAAAATTAATGGGGCAGGAAAACCTGAAGGATCATAATGACAGCCACAATCCAGATGGACCAAGCCACAAAATTGGAAGTGCTTAAATCAATAGATCCATCTTCTGTCAAGACAAGTTTGCGGACAGCCCAAAACCCCAACCATGCTCCAGATAGAATGATAAAAACCAGCAGAAAATATGCCAACTGCGGTTTAAATTCAAATGACAGTTAACCTTTTAGAGCAGATATAGTCTGCAAAGCATTATCATTACCAACAGTACTAAGTATTGTAAAAACAACACATTCCATCTATCGCAGTTCAATGCCACCAAAGTCCAAACAAAAAGGCAAGATCAGCATAGAGAAACCACTTGAACAGTCTCCAAAAATAAAAAATAAATAAAAGTATAATTCAATATATTTTGCAAATCAAGGATTTGAGTTTGAAATTTGACATAATCACCAAAAATAAATAAATTCCTAGATTATTATGATTATTATTTTTTTACACAATGAGTGATTTCGAAGAATACTTATGTGAAAAAAAAAAGAAAAAGAAAAAGAAGAGCTACAACATGACCACAGCATTCTACAATGACAATTCAGCTATGTATACGGTTATGCTCAGTATCATATGAGCAAAACAATGGCAAGTAGACAACTAAAAATACTTTTATGAGATAACTTACATACAGGGTCAATCATGTCTTCACTGACTCCTATCTCTGCAAGTACTGACTGAAACAACCCCGGCAGATAGCGGAGAAAAAAAGATCCCAAACCAACCTGAAGAACAACAGAAAGATTTATGAATATGTTCTTTGTTCTCAGGAGAGATGTGGGGTGGGGGGGCAGTGACTTAAAAACAGACTGTTGCATTGATACCCACCATAGATGAATATATAAAAATGGCAAGCGAGCTCCTCCGACCAGTTGGGAGTAGCTTCATTCCCTGTCAGTATAAAACAGAAGCATGTAAGTATTCATCTACGGTTTGCAGATGATTTACTAGTATTCACAGACAGTTCAGCAAGAGCAATAGGTGCTGTTGATTCTATATTGAGACAATTTTATTTGGTCACAGGTTTAAAGGTGAAATACCATAAGTCAGAAATTTTTTGCGGTAGAATGCAGCCTAATGTAATAAGGGAGCTAGCTGATTTGTATGGCTTCAAGGTGGGAACCCTTCCTGTTAGATACCTTGGGGTACCACTTATAACTGGAAGACTAACAGATGCTGCTTTAAAACCTCTCATCACTAAAATCACTGATAAAATCAGTTCATGGACTTCCAGATATCTGTCATTTGCAGGGAGATTGCAGCTTATTTCATCTATTCTTCAGAGCATAACAAACTTTTGGTGTTCTATTTTCATTCTGCCAAAAAGAGTAATTAAATCAGTGGAGGGAATTTGCAATGCTTTTCTTTGGAAAGGTAGAGCAGCTGATGCAAGAGGAGCCAAGGTAACTTGGGCAACAGTATGTCAACCAAAGATGGAGGGAGGATTAGGCTTGAAGCCTTTGCATAATTGGAATGTGGCTTGCATTTTGTGATTTATTTGGCTGCTGTTCACAAAGGCAGGCTCTATTTGGGTTGCATGGGTGCAAACATATTTGTTAAAAGAAAAGAGTTTCTGGTTAGTAGGAATTCCAGCAGACACTACTTGGAGTGGGAGAAAAGTCCTAAAACTTAGAACATATGCTAGACCTCTCATGAAGCATATAGTAGGTAAAGGTGACACTATTTTTCTCTGGTATGATTCTTGGCATCCCAAGGGACCTCTTATTGAAGTATATGGGCAGAAAATTATATGGGATGCAGCCATTCCCTCTCAAGCAAAACTGTCTCATGAAATCCAGGGGGATTATTGGAAATGGCCTCCTGCTAGGTCCCCTGAACTGCAGCAGATTCAAATGGCTTCGTGTGGAACGTTATATCCTAATTAAGCTATGGAGGATCAGGTTGTTTGGTTGGGTTCTCCATCAGGTTCTTTTCAAACAGGTGCTACTTGGAACTTCCTTAGAGAAAAAAGATCTAAGGTACCCTGATTCAGACTCATTTGGTACTCAAATTCTATTCCCAAACATAATTTTATTGCTTGGCTGGCTATATTAGATAGACTCTCTACCAGGTCTAGACAGAAAAATTGGTCTTCTTCCATTGATGACACTTGTGTGCTATGTGGGAATGCAAGTGAAACTAGGAACCATCTCTTCTTCTCCTGTCCCTACACTACTCATATTTGCGAAAAGATTTCTTCTATGCTGGAAATCCTATTAAACTTTGTTCGGCAAGATGCTTTGGATTGATTATGTAAGAGAGTTAAACATAAGGCTTTGTACAGCTCTCTTATTAAATTAGCTTGGTGTGTATCAATATATCATATCTAGATCGAAAGAAACAGCAGGATACATAGACAGCTATACAGGTCTCCTTCTGCAATAATTGATATGATTCAAATGGATGTCCGAGACAGAGTCCTAGGGTCTGTAAAGGAAAGGTCTTCTCCCATGTCAAGGAGAATTGCAGCTCAATGGGATTAGAAATTTTATGTACGGCTAAGGCTTGAACATACAGTAGTTTAGGAGTTGTTTCATTCTTTGTACTGAAATTAGTAACAGCCTTAACCAAAAGAGCTGCTTTGTGTAAATTTTGGTAATAAATTCACATTTTACAAAAAAAAAAAAAACAGAAGCATGTAAGTAAATCAAAAGTGAAACACACAACATAAGTCAAGCATCATACCTCAGTGCTATATGCAGAGTTTCATGTAACTTATTGATGGTGGTATTTTACCTGAAACAGGACCAACAATACCACAAGGATGACTCCAATTGCCATGGCACTGCTATAGTAAAATGCCAATGACTTGCTCAGAAAGGTTGCTGAGTTCAGCAATATGAAGCCCACAATTAAAAACAAAATGCGATACCCATAAAATTCTGTGAAACAAAAGAACAGGTCTGAATCAACAAAGTATTCAACCTCTCATAAACAAAGCAAGAAGAAGAGACATCCGCAAACTTAACCTTCTTCAATAGACACTTCCAAGGGTTCAATTGATGAACCTGTCATCCTTATGTCTAAGAGCTTGTAGTCAAAAGGGGACATGGAACGAACCCATAAACCCTTTGAAACCTTCTCCCACTTGCCCTGAGGACACATCCCAATTCCAAGAGACATATTCCTGCAAAGAGACATAACAGTCTTAAGTAAGAAAACAGATATCTCAAGAATACGACCATTATGCTAATAAACTTCTTATAGAGGACAGCCAATTTTCACCATTCATGCTAAACTTGAAAAAGGAATTAACTATCAACATTACCAATCAATCATTAGCCATGCACTTTTTTAGATGCAGAAACTCACCCATGGAAACATATTTCAACATTTGGTTTCATCAGGCTTGGTTTAACTTGTGAAACCTTCACCTTCACCTTCACTGAATGTGCAAACTTGCTCAAGTTCTGTAGCCTCGATAATCCATGAATATGAACTCTTTCGCAAACAGCTGTAACTCCAAGCTTTAAGCCTGGAGAGTTTTCCACTTGCAAGCCAGGAGAGAGCTGCAATGTAGTATTGGATTCCCCAACATCTGAAAAACCAAAAGAATAATAAATTACCAAAAGATATCAACTTTCATCATCCAATTGAATAGGCAAAACCTAAAGATATCAAATTTTCTCGGAAACCAACACTAAAAAGATTGAATATTTATATAATAAAAAAGTTTAATTCTTTGCATTCAGTACAGAACAAGAACTAGGTTTTAGAATTTAGTACCGCAACATAAACAAAAGAGATGAAGAAGATTACCTAAAGAAAGTTTCTTGGCAGATCCAATGGAGGAGGAAAAAATCGAAGAGGTGACGAAGAGAAGCCATGAAACCAGAGTGTAGCTCCGAACCCACTTTCCGGTACCCATCGATTCTCTGGGTTGCGATTTCCGATTTGCAATTGCGATGTTAGAGAAGGCACGCTTCTGAAAATACGATACTGTATGGAGGGTATTTCTGCCATTTCAAAATTATTTATATTTCTTTTGGGCCTGGCAGGCTTATAGTAAACCGACATCAAAACACGGTTTAAATTGGTACTGGGCCGGATTTGGGCTCTATCTCGTTTTAACCGTTGGATCAGTACAAATCGCACGGCCGGCGAGAAGAACAGAAAATAAAAATAAATCCCTCTCGTTTCAAAGCACTCATCCTCCGTTCCTCTCGATCGCCCGATTCCGTTCCCGGCACCGATATCTATCGACCCTCCTCCGTGTTGTGACTTCCACCGCCGTCGCTACCGTCTCCGTCGCCCGTCCAGGTATGCTTAATTTTCCCTGCTCTGCTTCCTTTGACTGAAAACCCTAGATAACAGGATTGCTAGAGGATTTCCATAATATTGGTAAGGAGACTTGCATTAGATTTATGATTTCAATTTAACAAGAGAGCAATTTTCAGGTGCTGAAGGCTATGTGAGCTAGGCCGAAAGATTAGATGGCACACAGATTGTTAAGAGATTATGAGGCTGATGGTTGGGAACGCTCTGATTTTCCTATTATCTGCGAGTCGTGCCTTGGTGATAATCCATATGTCAGAATGGTATTAATCATTTAATCCTCTCCGATTCATGGAAATTGCTCTGTGTTGTTTCTCGAGTTACCCATGTATTGCTGTTTGATTGTAGACTCGAGCAGATTATGATAAGGAGTGCAAGATTTGTACACGGCCATTCACTGTTTTCAGGTGGAGACCTGGTCGAGATGCAAGGTATAAGAAGACTGAGATTTGTCAGACATGTGGTAAGTTGAAAAATGTGTGTCAGGTTTGCCTTTTGGACCTTGAATATGGTTTGCCAGTTCAGGTTCGAGACACTGCTCTTAGTATAAATTCCAATGATGCCATTCCGAAGAGCGACGTGAACAGAGAGTATTTTGCTGAGGAGCATGACCGCAGGGTGTGTATCTGCTTTTTCTCAAGATTGCTACTTTTTTGGGAATGAACTATTTTTGTTGACATGTGGATTCTGTTTGATGCTTCATTCACATGTTAGTTCTTGGATTTTACACTACCAAGTTCTTGTGTCTGAATCTGATGCATTCTGTATTCTATATTAGTATATGAGCACAGCATGGCATCCATTGCATCCACCTTACTATCGTCATGAATTGATGAATTGAATTATAACATGTCATTCTTCTATTGCATACTTGTGAGAAATCTCCTTTTCCTTTCTCCATACTTTAGTTGTTCTTGGTCCTGGCTTTGTTTCCCCTGTTTAGTTCACCTTTTGTTCTAAGTTAAATAAATTGTTGACTGGCAGGCCAGGGCCGGTTTAGACTATGAATCCTCATTTGGCAAGGTACGGCCAAATGACACTATTCTGAAGCTTCAAAGAACAACACCATATTACAAGAGAAACCGAGCTCATATCTGCAGTTTCTATGTTCGGGGTGAATGCACAAGAGGTGCTGAGTGCCCTTATAGGCATGAGATGCCTGAAACTGGGGAATTGTCACAGCAAAATATAAAAGATCGTTACTATGGGTAAGTGCAATTTTTATGACATTTCTTCCTTTCAATATGAGAAGTTGCATAACAGCTGTATCTCACTTGCTACTCAGTAGTGCTCTATATTGCGTTGCCAATGCAGCAATATATCTTACAAGAAAATCCATGTCATCAATAACCTGTATATAACTATTAGGCACTAGCTGTCTGAGAGAAGCATGGGTGACAATCTTATCATTCATGATTAGTGCTTTCTGTTGGGTTAATGCGTCCATACAAAGACAGTAGATGCTAGTCATCTATCATAATACCTTCTGCCCTGTTGTTGTGTTGTTTATGAGTATCTTCAGTACTTTAATTGGGTCCTTTTCTGCACATTAATGCTGTCACGAATTCAACTCAATCAACCTCAAGGTCCTCAAATATGGTTTAATCATAAACTAGTTGGATTCAGCTATGTGAATCTTTTCCCTCCATTCTGTCTTATAAAGAACCATAGTCACAGGATAATGTGGTAACAGATTGTCAATTGATGAATTCTATGTAATACAGCTATCATGAACCTACCTAACCATACACGCTTGTAATGAAGGTATCTTTATAATTTTTTGGATTGATTTTTTAAACCTCCCTTTTTCTCTAATTATTTGCAGTGTGAATGATCCGGTGGCACTGAAGCTACTCAACAAGGCTGGCGAAATGCCCTCTCTGGAACCTCCCGAGGATGAAAGCATTAGAACTCTCTATGTGGGTGGGCTTGATAAAAGGATCACTGAACAGGATTTAAGGGACAACTTTTATGCTCATGGCGAAATTGAATCCATAAAGATGGTTCTGGATAAAGCATGCGCTTTTGTTACATATACTACCAGAGAAGGCACAGAGAAGGCTGCAGAAGAGCTCTCTAACAAGCTAGTCATAAAGGGCCTCAGACTGAAGCTAATGTGGGGTAAACCCCAGGCACCAAGACTTGAGGCAGAAACCTCAGATGGAACCAGGCAGCTAGCAGCTGTAACTCATGGTGGAATGCTGCCCCGGGCAGTGATATCACAGCACCAAAACCAATTTCAACCATTTGGGACTCAGGACCAAACCCCACCAATGCACTATTTCAATATCCCACCTCCACCTCAGCAGGAGAGAGCATTATACCCATCAATGGATCCTCAAAGGATGGGTGCTCTTGTTCCCTCCCAAGATGGAGAGACCAAACCTGGATCAGAAAGGCAGCAACAAGGGCAGCAGTATGCTTTTCAAGCTATGCCACCACCTCCACATGGTCAATATCCTCATCAAGTCCATCCACCATATGGATACATGCCACCAGTGCCACCTTATCAGCAGTATCCTCCATATCATTCTGCAATGCCTCCACTTCAGACCTCAGCTGCAGCACAGCAATATCAGCAATCTGGGCCACCAAGGCCTTCACCCCCAGCATCCACGTCATCAGCACCATCAGCACCTGCTGCATCTGGGTCATCCCAACAGTGAAGAGAAAATTACTGTTTTTGGCTGTTTTGTTCAGGTAAGTTGTAACCAGTTAAAATCCCAAGTTGGTCTTAACATTTCAAGTTCAAGATTTCTTTGCTTTACCCGTGGTTTTCACTCACCAGTTTGTTTCACTTATGGGCTATACCATGTGCTACTGCGTTTTTTCTTTTGGTAAAAAGTGCTACTGCCTTTTTGGCTTCTTATGCTTATGCAGCATTTAATCTATGATCTTTGTTGGGATTATTTTTCTTCAAAATGGGGAACGGTAGATTGAAACGTACAAAAATTTCAAAGGAAATATCAGCTTTTGATAGAAGTCAAAAAAGAAAATCTCAGTCTTCTTACTCATGTTTCTGCAATTCTGCCAAGTTTAAGCAGTGTACGTTTGTATGGTCTTTTTTTTTTTTTTGACACTTGCCTCGGGACTGGGAACATAGAAAACCGGAGGGATATAAGAAAACATGTTAGAACTCTTACCTGTTCTATTCTTTGATGAAAGTGTAGAGAATATGCTCATCCTATCTTTAATTATTCAAATGCTGAATGCAGATTAAACTACAAGAAGCTAGGTAACTGATCCCATCAATAAAATTCACGTTTGCTATTGGATTTATATCCCTAAAGGGCTGTTGTAGAGTCAGCTCTCAAAACTGCCAATTTTAATGACATTTCACCGTGTGCTGGTTCGTACGAAAACAGCTAGCCATCACCTTTGGAAGGAACAGGCTAGGTAGGGAAAAAGAACAAATTCGGATATTCTGCAAAAGCTTCGGTCAGGCAAACAGACTCATAAGGAGGTAACTTCTGCCTTACAGAAAAAAATATTCACAGCCTGTCTCCATGGAAGTGAAAGTAAGAAGCTTACTCATGCATGATGCATTCCGTGCGGTCCCCTGTTCATTCAATTGCACCGTGGATGAATGGTACCACATTCCTTGTATCAGACTCAATAAAAACAACTGTTCTTCTTTCACTTTCCCTGGTTATTTTCATTAGTGTGAACAAAAAGCTATTGCAAGAATTTGAACCCTTTATCACGATTGTAAAATTTAGATTTTATAATTAGTAGATACCAATTTCGTTATTCTCTTTGTACCAATGCAATTTTGCATGGGCGAAAGCTGTAGATGGAAAGGCGATGGCCCGTGGCGGAAGCCAGACTTGCAGTTGATTCATTAATTATTTGCATGGATTAACTGTACGTTTGCAAATAATCAGCTGGATTAATCCAACTGGAAACATACAAGTCCTGAAACTGAAAGTACGTAGTACTGGAAAGAGTGAAAGCACTGATTTTGTTGCGCGGAGAATGGCAGCAAGGCAGCATTACGTGCGTTCAAGATCCAATCTCAGCAATGCTCTGCAAGGCTGGCCTCCATTGCCTCCCACCACCACCGCTGCCTCCGCTACGATGCCTCCCCATGTTCTTGTTGCCACTACTGCCACTGCCACTGCCGCTGCTACTGCCACCACCGGTGCTATTATGAACTTCCTGCATGAATAATTTTCAAAAGCAATCCTGAGACAAGCCATCATTCAATATCATCACCACCTTATGAGCAATTTTTATACAGGCAGTTAGCACCTGCACATGCACCCCACTACATGTATGCAAACAAAAATGCAGCACAATCATTTCTAGTTGATGGCTTGCTTGCTTCACTTCGAAAGGCCAATGATGTAAGAAAAGAAGATGACTGTTTCCTTTATTTAGTCACATTCATACGCCAAAAGCTAGCATTGCCCAATTGATGTTTAGGGGCCCCATATACGTCAAGATTTCAGACTCAACCATAAGTATGTTTCACAATTTATATCTCACAAATGCCGATGGGGCACTTATATCAACATTTCCAGCACAAAGGAGAAAGATTAATTAATATTTCGTGACATAATTATATGATTAGAGGAAACAGAAAATCAAGACGTTTCGTTGTTAAAAACGCGAATGTTCACAAAATAGTTAGGACATAATGTGAGTCTTAATTGAATCTTATGAATCACGGATTAATTATTCCCACATTAAGCACTAATTCACATTAATTAATTAATTAATTGGTAGATGACCGGTGTCTTACTCTATCTTACCTTAACAGAACTGCACTTCTCAGATTTTGGGTTCGGGCTCCGGTTCGTACAGGAGCTGCCGGAGCACTCCCTTTTTTCCTTCAGCACCATGGCTAGACTTCCCCTCTCCTCCAGCAGTTTCCCGAGTTTCACGCATTTCTTCGCCGCAAACTCCTTCAGCACATCTGCAGCAAAGCGGTGAGATGACTTTGCACTAAATAAAAGAATAAGATTGTGAATGTTAATTATTATTTTTACCTTCGGAGCTTATAAGACGGTACACTTGCCCGATCAACAAAGTATCGTTAGGTCTCAACAGCTTGAGCTGCTTCAATGGCACGCCGTTTTCATTCTTCAACGTAGGCGACGTGACCACGAGGGCTACGTAATGGCCTGGATTAGAACTCATGACCTCTTTAACACTAACAGACCAGTAGATTCTCTCGATCTTGTTCCCCGGATGCTGAATCACCACCGTCGCTGCCTCCGCCGATTGACAGTTGCCCATTTCCTGCTGGGATGTCTCTGCTAACACACTGAAACTGTTAATTTTGAAAAAAAAATAAAGGAATAGTTCTGCGCTGACGGGAAAGAAAGAAAGATAGAAAAGGCTTCCCAATGCTCTGTCACGTCACGTTTGATGGGTACGCAAGAAATCCGGGGATGTGACAAAGAGGAGGGTGGGGGGAATGGGGGAATTTTATAAAAATCAGGAACCAAATAAGACTTTTTGTGTCAGTACTGAAACCAATGCTACTTTTGGTTTTTGAAATTTACGCCATGAGAGAAACAAGTCAAAGAAAGGATGGGTTAAGGGAGAGACCAGAGTTGGGGAGGGGTTGTTTGGGGAAATTATGGAATTTCGTGTTTGGTTTGGTGCCTTTTATCGGCAGGTGATGCGAGGAGGGATAATAAAAATGGTGAAGGGTGTGGACGGTAGACGTGATAGATGGACCTACTGCCTTTAATTCGGTAATAAAAAGAATTTAATTTCGAGATATATACAATAATATAAAGAGATTTTGATTGTTAACAAAAGAAATATTATTATTTTTATTTTATTTTAAATATCATTTTAATTAAATCTCAAATTATTAATGATTTAAATAAGTTAATAGTTATCTTTTTTTTGTTAAAAATAAGAGATTCTCAACTCGAATTACATGATATGTGAGTCAAGTAAAATAAAAGATATAAAATAATTGTTTCTGATTATACAATTAAAATTTAAAAAAAAAATTAAATATCAAACACATAAAGTTGTTAGTATCATTTCTTACTTAATCCAATATACATAAATTTGGATGTGAATTTTTCAGATACTAGTGCATAGGCCTTATTATTAATACTAGCATCTGTTTTACAGAAAGGAAAAACGAATCTAAGTGCATGTAATTTGTTTTTCATGAGTGTTACATTATTATTGATATTGAATTAGGGACGGTAGTACTTAGAGGATGAGTTGGACATGGGCCTTACCCAACTGAAAAAAAAAAAATAATTGAAATGACTTGAAACTTTGAAAGAAGGTTGTAAAGGAAAAAAACCAAAGGTTCTACTATAAATTCATTGAGAGAATAAAAAATAAGTCTTAAAATTGGCATTAAAAGGCCTTACCCCCGATTTTACCATGGTTCCGCCCCTATATATGGAATCGCCTTATCATCCACAAGATTGATGGTTGAATTCAATGATGGTGCCGTCATTCCGAGGGAAAAGACTGAAAAGTAGAAGGTTGATTGTTAGAGGTGTAAATGTATCGTGTACCCTAAAAAAAAAGGGTATAAATGTATCGCACATAATTAGGTAGTTGTCCAGCGGTTAGATATTCACAAAAATAATAGTTACAATAGAAAAATAAATTGCAATTTGATATATATAAATTAGGTTTTATTTAGTTATTAAATAAAAATGTGAGTTTTATAATATTAGAGTATTTATATTTAAAAATACTACGCGTAATTTTTTTATAATATTATATAATATTATAAATTTATAATTATAAAATAATTATATAATTAATTATTTATATTTATAAACTTATACGTAATATTATGATTATAAATTTATAATTATACATAATATTATAATTATAATATTTCAATTAAATCAAGATGTAAAAAAAATCCTAACCCATGAAGCTAAGATTATATTTCTAATTCAGTTTCTTACTCTACTTCACTTGGATCAATCACCGTGAAAACTTAGAATTTTATGTAATCAATGGTCTAGTCATCTTAGTTCGGCAGGCTAGCTAGACTTGCCGGACAAATGAGCTAAGGACGATTTTAATTTCAAACAGCTAGCAATGACGTGTGTGGATTAAAGGTCCTTCACCCCTACCATTAATTTGCATTGCATCTGCTTTTTTGCAGATGGTCCAAGATCTGCGTGAGGTTGAAGGGGTTGCCCCCTCGGCTTTGTTTGCTGATATATATAGTTTGCTAAGCTCTTTCAGTGCATGTGTCATCCACCATACAGATACTGTTCGGATGGGGAACTATATATGCTGCAGATTACATGGCTTCTTTGGACCACAACTTACCTCTGGGTACTTCTTATTTCATGCAACCTCCAAAATGGTATATGTAGGATCCTCCAAGGGGATATTATGGGGACTCCGTTCCTTAGAGCATAAGCTTGTGCGTAGTCATGGCTTCCATTGTACCCAAAAAAAAAAAAAAAAAAATTGCACCTGCTTTTCTTCTACCAAATAGAATGGCCACCACCGTCCATGCACCATGCCATAATGTTGAGGCTACGGCGTCATCAATTATGGAAGGATCAAGTGATCAACCCCAATCCATGGCCCCCTGTTCCTCTGCCGAATGTCTCAATATCAAAGCTTAACTGAATTTAATGATAGAGTAATAGACCATGGGAGCATGTATACATTGAAAAATAATAATAATATTAATAAACAACTTACTTTGAATTCCCACCCCACCCCCATTATGCAATTTAAATTTAAAACATTTTATTTCTAAAAGATCTCTTACTTTCAACAGTAATAGACCATGTGAGCATGTATACATTGAAAAATAAAATAATAATAATAACAATGATAAATTTATTTTGTACTTTCATCTCACTTGCATATTATGTGATTTAAATTTAAAATTTCTTACTTTCAAATTATCTTTTACTTTCAAAACACTTCTTATTTTTAACAAAAAAAATTATTATTAAATTATTTAAATCGTTCGCATGTTATCACAATTATTATTACTTTATATTCGGGCAATAATGACAACACGAAACATGTAGAACGCTAAGCCCACAAAGGATATATTGTCTAGTCTTCGTGAGCCCATTGCCAATCTGACCCAAAAACTAAGAAATGCTATAGCTATTCAGACCCAATACCACGAAATATACCCAAAACATTTATATAATAATATAATTAATTTTTTGAGATTAAAAATCTAAAAGGTGTAATTCCCCGGTATACTTAGGAGAAATTTGTATATGTCATCTAACGTCTAATGAAAAACTTGCTTTTTTTCAAAAATAAAAAATAAAAAAAAAATATATATATATACCCAAAACACCACGTGATATGAGAAAATGATAAGGATAATAATTGACTTATTGTTTTTAATTAAAAAAACAACAATTTTTTAGGTCCAAAACTTTAAAATTACTTTATTAATTAATTTATTTTAATTGAGTATTATTTTTTACAATTAAAACTAAAAACTGAAACTAAAATGTATAAAATTTCTAACAATTATTAAATTTCTTAAGGCTTTTTTTAGTATAATTGTAATTTTTTATTTTTATGTTTAATTTTCGTAAATTTTACAACTATTGAAAATCAAAATTAAAAATTAAAAATTTGTTTAACATAAGTTTTAACACTATCAATTAGTAAAACCATAAAATTGCTTAGTAAGATTAAGGGAATGTTTGGAATTGTTGTAAATTTGGAATTGTTGTAAATTTGGAATTGTTGTGAAGTGCTGTGATTATAATTATACTGAATTGTATTGTACTATAATTATACCTGAGAGTTATTTTGGTGTTTGATTATTTATTTCTCAAAAATATTATGGATGAAATATTGTAGATTTTATTAATTATTAATTAAAATTTAAACAATATTATAAGATATAAAATTATTAAAAATTTATTTTTGAAAAAAATAGTATAAAAAAATTATCAAATATATATACATCTAAAAATACTATACAATTATAAGAAAAAAAACTCACAATTAAAACTCTGAACGCACCCTAAAAATATTTTTTTCTTATTTCTCTAATAATCTTAATAATATGATGTAAAAAAAAAATTAAACTAAACAAATTTTTTGTAAACTCTGTAAAATCAAAAAATTAAAAATCACAATCATTCTAAATAAAATCTGTTTTTTTTTTTTTAATACCTTAGCTGTTTTTTCTTGTCTTTGAAAAGAAAGAAACTTCATTATCTAAAACGTTATCAGTTGTTTTTTTTCTTGTTTTTGAAAAGAAAAAAACTTCATTATCAAATATATTATTGGTTGTTTTTTCTTGTTTTTTTTTTTTTTAATACCTTAGCTGTTTTTTCTTGTCTTTGAAAAGAAAGAAACTTCATTATCTAAAACGTTATCAGTTGTTTTTTTTCTTGTTTTTGAAAAGAAAAAAACTTCATTATCAAATATATTATTGGTTGTTTTTTCTTGTTTTTGAAGTATCTAATACATTATTAGTTGTTTTTTCTTTTTTTTTTTTTAGGAAATGTTTTTCTCTTGTTTATGAAAAGAAAGAAACTTCGTTATGTAATTTGTATCCAGCTAGTTTGAGGATATGAAGGGAATAATTTTTTTTTATACATATAATAATAATAAGTTATATAAAAAAAATAAACTTAAAATTTTAAATTTTAAATTTTTTAAGATTAACCCAATCGCTTGAAGTAGACGGAAAGGAGTATACGGTATACCAGTCGCTGGTTTACTCTGACACTCAACGACAACTGGCCCAGTCGTTTTAAATACAACTTTGTTTGCGATATATGATAAGACAAATCAAATTGCCTCCAAAACCGGCGTATAAACAAATGCAAAATTCCAAGAACCCAATACTTCCCATATAAAATGATTCCTATTCCCAAATTAAAGGATCACAAAAGATGATATCTTTTTTGCCTGTTTCATGCCTCCTCTTCTTCATATTCGTGACAACAACGGAAAGCAGTTTTCATACGAAATCGAGTTTGGCATCTACGAATCTTTCCCACGAATCTATTTTCATTCTTTTCTTTAATAATAATAATTAGCTTCGATGGTTCTCTTGCTGGTGTTTTTGATCCTTTGAACGACTCCAAAACGTGCTTATCTTGTTTTGCGGTTAATTTTTCTCGTGGTCTCTTGCAGTTTCTTTGGAGTCTTGTTCTTTTAATCACTCGCTGATTCTTGCTCTGTTTTTGTCTTTCTCAGCATCGTCTCTTCATTTTTTTTTCGCCAGAATCCTGCATTTATAGAGGAATTCGCATCTGGGTATTGGTTATCAGCTGGTGATTCTTCCATTTGAGGTACTTTCTTCTCATTGGGGCTTTGACTTTGTAGCCATTTTGTTGGGTATTCTTTATGTGCTGAGAAAGTGGACCAGATGTAAAGAGAAGTATGATTCTTTTCTTTAAACTTCGAAAGGGAAGAACTTTTCTTTTTTGGATTTTTGGGTCACCCTTTTATTTGATTTTGATTTTTGAATTTTACTGAAAAATCTCAATCAAAATAACCTGGTTCATTACAGCTTAGACTCAAGCTATCTGGCTGGGTTCCTTCCTTGTAAATTTAGATTTTTTTTTAAAGAATTTCTTTATTGATTGAAGCAGAAGATGGGTAATTTGAAACAAGGTTTGGACACAAGGGTGTCATCTGAAACAATTGAGAAGCGTACAGCGTGTTCTTCCTCCAAGGGAGGGAAAGGGAAGAGATTGTGGAAGAAGGTTAAGTATCAGCTGGTAGAGTTCCATTCTTTGCCAGGGTATTTGAGGGACAACGAGTATATTATTGGTCATTATAGATCAGAATGGCCGTTGAAGCAGACTTTACTTAGCATCTTCACCATTCACAACGAGACGCTGAATGTTTGGACGTAAGCTTTCTTTGCTAACTAATGACATCTTGATTTTTCAGAGAGTTGATTGACTTTATTTCTTATGAGCGAATATTTGGCTGGCTCTACTTGGACTTTATTGTATTGTTTGTAAATTAGAAGGAATTTGGCCTTTTATGTTCTTCACTTTTGGTTATACTTATGTTTTAACGTTTGTGCTCAGAAATGGAAACAAAGGTATTGATTTCTAGTGAAGAAACATTTATTTGGAATAGGAGATGGGTTGTGTTTATTTACTTTGTTTGTCCTGTCTCCAATAAAATAAAATTGTTACAATTTAATACACCTTGAATTCATGGTTTTGATTTGTTCTTTCATATAATCTTTTTGTGTCTTGTATTTGGCAATTTTTTAATCCATTTTTCTATGATGACCGTTGCTTTTATGGTTCAAACTTCAGAGATTAAGATGTCTTGACTTTATTATGTAATTTTGCTAAGCATAACCTGTTAGACTGTTGCAGGCATTTGATTGGGTTTTTTCTTTTCCTTTCCCTTACCATATACACTGCTCAGAAGGTTCCCAAGGTTGTTGATCTTCATCCGCTACAACATCTTCCTGATGTGTTGAGAAGGGCTGATTTGTGCAAATGGCATGCAGAACTCAAGACATGCCTGCCTTCCTTACCCAACATGCCTGACTTGCACAAACTTCGGGGGGAGTTACAGACAACACTACCTTCAATGGATTTACTTCCTTCACTCCAAGGATGGAATGTCATGGAACTTTTATATAATTGTTTGCCTGAGCAATTCTCCGATGGGAACCACACTGATGTTTGTGTTCTGGTAGCACTCTACTTTTCTTTCTTGATTCTACAATCGTATGTTATAACCTTATTGCTGCTCTTTGCATGAATTGATTGTTTTTATGTTGTTTTGATGATAACATTAGTTGGCAATCATTTCCTTAGTGTTTGACTTCAGAAAAATGGTTTTGAAATTGAATCTTGCCAATTATTTTTATCATTTTCTTGGTTTTAAATATGAAATAGGTTACCTTTTCCTTTTCTGACTTCCTGCCGATCTGAATATTATACTTAAATAGAGTGGCATTGAGGGAACTATTTATGCTGTTCCTATGGTTGGTTAGGATTGAGAAAGAGTGAGGATTTGATTGTAACTATACATGCGAAGTTATAGTCTTTTTCTCTTGAATGCTTTCCTCTATTCATGTGCTTGGTAAGCTATTTAAAAAACAGGGTCTTTCTATCCTGGTAAACTTTCTTTTTCTTCAAAATTTAGCCCCTCCACTCTATTGGACAACCAAAGGAATGTGTTTGTTACTATATATACAAAGTTGTAAAACTCATTAAAACTTTTTTGGCATTCAGTTATTTAAGGCTGTGTTCATTGACAGAGTCACTTAGGCAAAGCCTTTTTGGGTTTATTAAAGAGATCATGATCTTCACACTGTATATGTTCATGTTCATATAACTTGGATCGCTTATTCTATGCTTATTCTTCAATGCTCCAACGGTAAAATGTACCTAGAGGGGCACAAGATTTCAACCAAGTCTATGTTTTATAGGAGTTATCTATGAATATGATGATCATATGTTTCAACCAGAGTGTCCAATTGAAGTAATAGTTTGTGTTTCTAGTCTTAGTTATCTACTTGTTCTTGCCTCTTGAGAGCTTAATGCAGCTAACCCCTTCACTATTATTCATTGAAATGCAGAAAAGTATGAAGGAGGACGTCACAAACATAATAGCACCACTGATGGTGAGACCAATAACAAGGTGGCCCTTTTTTGCCTTCTTAGGAGGGGCAATGTTTTGCTTACTTGTTAGCAGCACATGCCATCTCCTCTCCTGCCATTCAAAGCGCATGTCATACATTATGCTCAGGCTAGACTATACTGGAATTGCAGCCCTCATATCAACTTCCTTCTATCCTCCTGTGTATTACTCTTTCATGTGTTACCCATTTTTCTGCAATCTCTACATAGGATTCATAAGCATCTTGGGAGTTGCAACAGTCTTGTTCTCTCTAGTGCCTGTGTTTCAAAATCCTGAGTTCCGTACCATCCGAGCATCCCTGTTTTTTGGCATGGGGTTGTCTGGAGTAGCTCCTATTTTCCACAAGCTTATCTTGTTCTGGCACCAGCCTGAGGCACTTCACACCACCGGGTACGAGACCCTGATGGGACTTTTCTATGGACTTGGAGCCCTGGTCTATGCCACAAGAATTCCAGAGAGATGGATGCCTGGAAAATTTGACATTGCTGGGCATAGCCACCAACTTTTCCACATATTAGTTGTGGCTGGCGCATACACCCATTATCAAGCAGGGCTGGTTTACCTCAAATGGCGAGACCTACATCAATGTTGAAGGAGTGAAGAATGATAGTAAATAATTGTTCAAGAATAAGCTTAAAGACAAAAAGTTAAGTGATTAATCTGTTAGTTTAGCCTTCTTTACTCTGATTTATTTTCCTGGATAGATTTAAGTATTGATGTATATGAACCTATAAGGGAAAGGTTAAATCCATTGTTCATGGCGTAAATTGATTCGTAAATCCTTAGTGCAACGTCTTCTTGTAGTTGTAATGTTCTTAAAGAATGTATGGTGAGTCAAGTGTCTTGGTTGTACCTGTACATTACTACCTACAACATTCTTGAATGTGATCTGGTTATGCTGAATGGAGAAAGAATTGATGCAATTGAGTCTGGTATTATTGTTGTTATTATTGACTTAAAAGCCTTGTGTTGTGTACATCCATTTTGTATCCCTTGGTTGCAGAAAAAGTAAGTCAGGAAAAGGAAGATCAATGTACGCACACCATTTGCTTTCATTGAGAGTCGAACTCAAGACCTCCCGCTTACTAAACGGGTGCTCTAACCAACTGAGCTATGAAAGCTGTTGCGCTTAATGTCTTTTAGTTTCTTTTTTATAATTTATTTCCTTCCACAAAAATGCTCCCAACCGCTGGACCCTTCCGTCAGGGACTCACGAGGGAAAGTCCATTGTTCTGTTTTAAGGTAGTAGCATGTGCAGAGCAGCAGGTTGTCATTTCTCTATCCCTATAAGCTTGAATTTTATTTTGGGTAAATTAATAGAAAAGCAATTAATAAATTATTTATGAAATTCAAGTCCACTTTGAGGAAGAAAGGAACATTTTTTTTATTTTCGATGAACTGAAGAAGAAGAAGAAGAAGAAGAAGAAAGGAACCGAAACCTGAAACAGCAGGCTTGTAATGGTCATGCCTTCATATCAACAAAAATACAACGACCGAGTATACATTACAATCTGATTTTTTTTTTTTAATACATCAAAAAGTTACCTAAATAGCAAATGCTTGATACTGTTTTATAATCAATATGTATTAAGTCAGTTAAACTGTTGTTTACATACAAATTGAGAATGGAAGACGTGACCACTGATCTGCATTCCAACAGAATAGATGGGTAGTTATTATTATGACCTTAATTGTTCGCCCATGTTTGGTCCATTTGATGGTTCGAGTGGACAAAACCATAAACTTGAAACAGACAAGTACTTAGAAAATTTGTGTATCTTTAAATGCGTTTCAGGCTGCTAGTTGATAAAATAATGTCTTATAGCACAATGTACGTTATCAAGTTCAAGATGCAATTAATCCCATCTGCTTTATGTACTGTAAGGAGCAATTTACAAGGTTATACGAATTTGTTTATCCAAAATGAATCTTTCCTTGAATCGAGCTTGTAGATGCAATGGTTTGATCCTAAATTTTAAGTGTTTAGGTAAGGTGGTCGTAGTTTTGAACTCTATCACCGTCATGAACTCCACCAGAATGTAACTCGATGACCTCACGTCTCATTTAAGGGAGTGAAATATTCACTCGCTCTGGAGATCGAATCTCCAATTACTAACAACTAATTCAATCTAACTCCCTAACAGTTATCTTTATTAAAAAAAAAAAAAAATTTCTCATTTGCTCATTTTTAACCAATTTAATTCATTAAATCGCACCGTAACTCAATGCCATTTTTATTTTTTATTTTTTAAAAATCAAACTTCATGACCTTATCAGTTACCATTATTAGTTTATTACCACTACCTTATCGAAGCGAGGAGATGCGCTATATGGTTGACGAAACGCTACCCTTTTCTTCTACCTGCTTATTGTTGGGAGGTTGCCCTACATTGATTTAAGGTTAATAATTGGGCCCTAAAAATTAATAAGAGCGGTAAGTATGAGTAGTCAAAACTTACCCATATAATTAGTAATGCATAAATTAATAAAGTAATGATATGTGATATTGATGTTATAAATAAAGTTATAATTATTTTTTTAATTTTTATCAAAAATAATAATTTTACTATACTTCTCTTTTTATAATATTTTGTTTAATATTTTTTCAAAGATATTTTCTCAAAATTTTCAGATACCGAAACAATTGGAGCATTCAGCAAGAAGATTAGATTTCGTGAAGCAACCCAAACACTTATAAAATTGGATACAGGAGATTAGTCTATTCTCTCCGCTATTATTATTATTATTTTTTATATTTTTCTTGGATCAAGAAATTAAAGATAAACTATTCCATTAAAGAAGCAAAATTATTTTTGGATATTTAAAATTGGCCCCTCAACTAAGTTGTTATGTCAATTAAACCCCTACACTAACGTTTGTACCAGTGAGTCTCTTTAAATTAATTTTGTATTAGAAAAGCCCCCTTGAAGTTAATTTTTCTGAAATATACCCCTCTACTCGACATTTTTAGTCAAAAGTAAACCATAGGGTCATGTGCGTCATCTTCCTGTTTATTACTTGTTAACTTGAATGCTTCTATTAATTAACATTAGATATGGATTATGGGTAATAAAATCTAACTTGTATAAAAAATAAGACTCACATTCTCACTAACAATTAAATATTCAATTTGGTATATATATTTTAACATTATATATCAATTAAGGTAAGATTTCTCCATACCACAACTCACGCCAAATGCCAAAATAATGAGGACATTTGAATGAGTCAGTCGGTCACGTAGAACCCTCCAATTAACTTTTGTCTTAAGTACTATAAACATTGAAATTGAGTAGGGAAGCTTGTTCGATACGAAAATCAATTGTGAGGGGCTTATTTGGTATGAAGGTTAATACAGGGATTTGATTGACAAACGACTTAGTTGAGCTTTCCTTACTTTCCGCAGTTTAAAAGTGTTCTTGAAGCACGTGTCTCGCGCCCTTAGACCAATTGTCTCGTTGGACCAATAAAACCCCATTAATTTTTTAAAATTTTCAACTTTAAAGTCTTAGACGGACAATTAAACGGAAAAAACGGAAAATCTGGCAGGTGAAATTCCAATCCAGTCCCGATTGTCGGTACAAATCTCACGTGTCAAATCCCCACCTGTCATCTTCCGACCGCACCTCACGCTTTTTTTTTTGGATGGTGATATAGGAATCATTTTTTTATTTTATTTTTTAATATAATTTTTATATATTATTAAATAAATAATGTATTTAACATTATAAATTTTAAATAAATTAAAAAATTTAATTATTTTAATGATATATCAAATTATATAAAAAAATAAAATAAAAAGTTGTATTAAAAATATTTTTCATTTTTTTAAACCGTTCTCGGTGCATTTTAGCATTCCCGGCGTCACTCCCTCTGCCCTCAGAAACTCAGAGTTGTCTTCTTTAAAACGTGACTAATCAAACTCACTTATCTCATTTTGGAAACTTATCTTTCTTCGTAACACTCTGTCCTAATTAAAGCTCATTTAGCTTAAAAATGGTTAAAGTACCATTTTGGTCCCTCAACTTTCCACTTTAACATCAAAATTATCTCTCAACTTTAAAAAATATCAAAATTATCTTTAAACTTTCATTTTCAATACCAAAATGGTCCTTCCGTCAGTTAAGTGGACATGTGACATGTTAAAATACCACAAAATCACTGTTTTTTTTTTAATTTTAATGACGTATAAGTCCAGTGAAGAAACTGTTGCTATCGTGGCATGTTTTTTCCACATCAAATTGCTCTCCCTTTTTAGATTCACTTTTTGTGGGGCCCACATGAAAAATTGTTTTCCTTTTCCAGTTTCAGTTGAGTTCTCGAAGGCTAAACGAAAACAAACACGAACTCAATATTGACTTCCAAAATTTGGAAGATACAGATGAAATTCAATGAAAAATGAAAGAAAAAGGAAATGAAAAACTCAAACTCATTCTAAGTTTCCACATAGTGCAAAATGAAACAAATTTTCTACAAAAAGAAAAAGAAAAGGGGATCAGAAATATTTTCTCAGCAACCAAACAAAACAAGAAGCTAAATAAATAGAGCAAAGAAAAAATAGCTTTACCATCCCAAACTTCAAAATTGGTCAAACCAATCACCAAGAATATGAATTTCGTGCTCAGAGCTATGGAAATGAAGTGAAACTGTGAAATTACTGAAAGAAATGTTAGGGTTTGTTCCGCGAGGAACCCAGAAACTGGGTTCTTCAAGGAACCTCGCATAACCTAGGTTTGGGTTCGTCAAGGGTTCTTTGCGAAACCCAGAACCTAGGTTCTTCGAGGAACCCAGGAACCCAGGAACCTAGAAACTGGGTTGGTTTTGGATTCATCAAGGAACCCAGAACCAAGTTCCTAAAAGAACCTAGATCTGGGTTCCTTGAAGAACCCAGAACCTAGGTTCTTCATGGAACCTAGGAACCCAAAACGGAGTTCCTCAAGGAGCTGGGTTCCTCAAGGAGCTGGGTTCCTCAAGAAACCTAGCACCGAGTTGGGTTCCGCCACCAAGCACCGAGTTGGGTTCCGCCACCAAGCACCGGGTTGGGTTCCGCGAAGAACCAGGATGAACAAGAGGAAAACCCAGCATCGAGTTCCATGACGAACCAAGATGATGAAGAGGAAGAGGATGGTGAAGATGATGAGAAGGATGGCGAAGAGAATGGCGAAGAAGATAAACGGTGAGATGATGATGCCGAGGATGAGGCTAAGGATGAGGAGAAAGAAGAAGATGACAAAATGCCATGGAAAAAAAATTCATTTAATTTATAAATTCATTTTTATTTAAATAAAAAAATAACACATGGAAAAAAAAAATTCCATCTCATCACTTTTAGCATGATATGTTTTCCATGTAATTATTATTTTTTTAAAAATATGATTTTGTGTCATTTTAACGTGCCACATGTCATTTAACTTACGAAAGGATCATTTTGGTACCGAAAATGAAAGTTTAAGGATAATTTTGGTACTTTTTAAAGTTAAGGGATAATTTTGATGCCAAAGTGCAAAGTTGAGGGACCAAAATGGTACTTTAACCCTTAAAAATCTCTTGCAAAATCTCACTGAAATCTTTTACTTTTATTAAAGCTGTTCAGACAAGTAAGGAAGGATACAAAACCGCGGATGGTGTCTCCTGAACCGTCTTCTCATTTTCAGTCGTCGTCGTCCATGGTGAAATCTAAGAACAGGGGCTCTTGGTGTCTCACAGATGGGTTACTTTATCTGGGTGGAGCTTTCTTAGCCCTTTTTCTGGTTTGGTGTTTCTGGTCGTTTTTCATTCCAGGGTCGGATTTTGCGCAGGCGGTTGCTGGTTCGAAAACGTGCGCCGATTCTGGGTTGGGGGTTAATCTGGGGTACGACCCGAAGGCGACCACTTTCTATGATGATCCGGAGATTAGCTATTCTATTGAGAAGCCGGTGAAGGGATGGGACGAGGAGCGGAAACAGTGGCTGAAGCATCACCCTTCATTTGCTGCCGGAGCGCGGGAGAGGATCGTCCTCGTAACAGGATCGCAGGCAAAACCCTGTAAGAATCCCATAGGCGACCATTTGCTGTTGAGGTTTTTTAAGAACAAAGTCGACTATTGCAGAATCCATGGTTACGATATTTTCTACAACAATCTGTTGTTGCACTCGAAAATGAACTCGTATTGGGCAAAACTGCCTGTGGTGAAGGCAGCAATGCTGGCTCACCCGGAGGCCGAGTGGATCTGGTGGGTGGACTCGGATGCGGCGTTCACAGACATGGAGTTCAAGCTGCCATTAGAGAGGTACAAGAACCACAATCTGGTGGTTCACGGCTGGCCCCATTTGATTTACAAAGATAAGAGCTGGACCAGCCTCAACGCTGGGGTTTTCTTAATTCGGAACTGCCAGTGGTCCATGGATTTGATAGATGTTTGGGCAAACATGGGTCCAATGAGCCCGGAGTTCAAGAAATGGGGTCGGATTCAGAGATCGACGTTGAAGGACAAGCTCTTCCCGGAGTCAGACGATCAAGCGGCTCTGATTTACCTTCTCTACAAACACAGAGATAAGTACTACGACCATATATTTTTAGAGGGGGAATTTTATTTTCAAGGTTATTGGGTCGATATCATTTCCGAGGGCGGATACGAAAACACCACGGAGAGGTATTTGGAGATAGAGAGGGGAGTGCCCAAGTTAAGGCGGCGGCACGCCGAGAAGGTGAGCGAGCAATACGCGGCGTTTAGGGAGGAGTACTTGAAGGAGGCGGGGAACGGGAGAGGAAGTTGGAGGCGGCCGTTCATCACCCACTTCACTGGGTGTCAGCCGTGCAGCGGGGACCATAATCAGAAATACAACGGCGAGTCTTGCTGGAACGGGATGATCAAGGCGCTGAATTTCGCCGATAATCAAGTCCTCCGGAAGTATGGGTTCGTGCATCCTGATCTTGGGGATTCGTCGTCGGTGACAGAGGTGCCCTTTGATTATCCTGCCGATGAGGGCCCATGGTAGAGGAAAATAAAACAAAGAAGAAAACAAAAGGTACTGTTTTGTCAGTTTGAAATTTATATATATTTATTGACGTTCTTTACATGCAAACAAAATTGAAAAGATTAATTGATGTTTTCTCTGTCTGGAGGTGCTTGAAATGATGCATGATTGGAGGATAATTTGTTTAGAAATGTCTTTTGTCTCGGTTTGGACTGGCTAAAAGAATGTGAGTTTAGTTGGAAAGACATTTGTAATTTGTTAATGGGAATGAAGGAATTTGTGATGGGAAGATGATGATGTTGGTGGGTAGGTGAGATTTGAGAATTGGGTTTTGAGTAAGGAATTGTGGGGAACTCATGATGTTTATGGTTCTCGACTTGTTTTTGATTAAATTATAGAACTTTAGGGTACCATGATGTTGATTTGTAGCATAATTCCAATAGAGAAAAGGCCTAGAAGGTAGACTACGCCATTAAAACTTCAAATAATAAGCTAAAATCTTGAGTTTCCTACCAATGTTGAAAGATGAAGCATACACTAAGGGCCTGGTTGATGGAGCTTCTAGGAGTTTCAGCTTTTTAACACTATTTATGTTTCATATGTTTAAATTTTTCGCTTAAAAACTTACATTTTAAAATTTTTTTTTAACTTTAAAAAGATCTCAAACAGTAAAAAATTAAAAGCTTTAAATTCAAGTTTTTTACAAACCCCTTTTTTACTCATTTTTTTTTATTTCTAAAAGTAATTTTTAAATTTTTTGTCTAATAAAAATTTTAACTTATTACTCATGAATAGTGCAAAAAAAAGCAAAAGCTTCGCCAAGCTCCACCAAACAGATCCTAAATTTTTTGCTATTGGGTCATGTTAGGTAGATTTTGCATTGTAGATCTGGTGATGGTGCCATTGCAATTTTTGAAATGTGCGTGCCTCTGTTTTTTTTTTTTTTTTTTTTTTTTTTAGGAAATGTTTTTCTCTTGTTTATGAAAAGAAAGAAACTTCGTTATGTAATTTGTATCCAGCTAGTTTGAGGATATGAAGGGAATAATTTTTTTTTATACATATAATAATAAT